AATTTTTAGTTATTTCTTTCACACACATTTTATGAGATGACTTATTTATTTTCTGTTACTACCATAACAGATTACCACAAACTTCGGGGCTTGAAACAGCACGATTTTCTGTTTTGTACTTCACTAGGTTCGCAGTCTGATGTGGCGCATATGGACTAACTGAGGTGTTGGTGGTTACTTTCTGGAGACTGTGAGCAGAATCACCCCCATCTGTAGGACACTGCTCCCATTCCGGGCCGTGTGTGCTTTTCCTCCCTCCCAAGGCAGTGACAGACTTCATCATAGTCCTGCTTGAATTTCTCTGTCAGCTCCAGCTCCATCTGATCTAATTGGGAAAGTTCTCACTTTAAGGGTTTATGTGATTGGATTCATGTTGATAATCTAGGATAATCTCTCCATTTTAAGGTCTTAAACCCTAGTCACATGCAAAACTTCTTTTGTCAGTATCATGACATGGATGTCTTCTGGGGGTGTATTTGTTCTTTCTCTCATTTCAGTTACAGAAGGCAACCTAAGGGGGGAGGTTCGCTTTGGCTCCTGGTTTGAGGGTACAGTACAGCCTGGTAGGGAGGCGTGGTGGTAAGGGCATCCTCTGAGTGTGGTGGGAGGAGTGGGAGGTTGCTTGTTCACATCTGGGTTGATGAGAAAGAAACAGGGCTGAGCTAGCCACATCAAGACCTGTTCCACGGAGACCCACTTAATCCAGCTGGGTTCCAGCTCCTAAAGGGTCCCCAGTGTTCTCAAAAAGTGCCACTAGATAGGGACCCGGTATTCAAACACATGAGCCTGTAGGGGGCATTTGATATACGAGCCACATCAGTGGTCACTATTCTGTCTACCATAGAATGCAAATATCTTTCTAGAGTAATGGTTTACTAATTTAAAACTTTTGTAATTTGAATAAATATTGAAAAATTGTATTACCTCTATTTTTGTTTTCTTAGCTTTAAACTCTTACCTGCATTTCCTCTTTGACATTATTTCCTAGGTATTTTGTAAGCACTCGTTAGCTTTGCCATGCAGCGAACCTCCCCACAATTACTCATCACTGCACACACATCTGTGGGTGAGCTGACCCAGGCTGGGTAGTCTGATGACCTTCTACACTGACTATGCTGCCGTGTTTGCAGGTCAGCTGAGCACTGTCTAATCTAGCCTGGGGTTTTGTGGGGCCAGCTCTGGTCCATGTGTCTCTCATGCTCCTAGCTTGGACTTGTGTTTATGAAAAATGACAGAAATAAAAACATTAATGTGGAAACATAGGAAACCTCTTCTGGCTTAAACTTAGAGCAGGGAAACTGTCACTTCTTTATTCTGTCAGCCAAAATTAGTCACATTGCCAAATCAGCAGACTGGGAAATGCATTCTTGACTAGAGAGAGAAGTAAAGGGCACTTAAACTGTTGGGCACTGAGCACATCCCTTTGACTACCTGCTTCTCCAGAGAACTGCCTCACCTTTTTTCTCTGACTCTTAGTTAATGATACACTATTCCTTCCACACCTGGTTCCTCAAGCCTACAGCACAAGAGCTGTTTTAAATTGTTCTTTCTATTCCCTGTCTTCTGTATTTACCTTGCAATCATTTTTCTATTCTATCATCTTTTCAGCCTTATTATTATTTATTCAGCCTTGGCCATCCTTCTTGAGAAGAAAGAGAGGAAATACCCTTTTGTTTCCCACTCCATTCCTTCAGATCCATCTCTTCTATTGCAGCTGGGATGCTCTACAGTTTGAAATTCAGATGTCATTCTTGCTCGCTGGCTTCTCTTTGCCTCTAAAACAGGCAAATTGTGATCTGGAGTTTCCAACCTGCCTCCTTGCTTTCTGTATTACCCCTTGAGTTCTGGAGTTGCAAGCTGTGTCTAGATCTGGTTTACTATCTATTGTTGTATAGTTTATGAGGCTAAAAGGGATTTTTATTTTACTTATTTGAATTTGTGTGTGATCATGTTTGTATGTGTGTAGGTCAGAGATGATCATCAGGTGTCATCCCTCAGGAGCCATCCATCTTGTTTTTTGAAGCAGAATGTCTCACTGGACCCTCATCAGAGTGGACTGATTAGGCTAAGCTGGCTAGCCAGTGAGCTCCAGGCATGTTCCGGTCTCTGCCTCCTCAGCACTGGGATTAGAATCGCATACACCACATCTGGTTTGTTAATGTGTGTTCTGGGGACTAAGCTCAGGTCCCCATGCTTGTGTGAAAGGCCCTTTACTAATTTTCTCTCCATTCTAATTTTTATGTATTTCAGTATTTGTGACACGTGAGAATTAGCAATTCAAATCCGGTGTCTATAAATAAAGTTTTATTGGAACTTAGCTGTGCTTATCCATTTATGGATTTTCTACAGCTCCTTTTGCAGTAGCAGTGTTGAATCATGGCAATGGAGACTACATGACTCACAAAGCTAAAGCACTTACTTTCTGATCCTTCACAGACAAAAATTTGTCAACTTTTACTGTCATCGCATAGAATTTGCAGTGGCCCTCTTCACATACCACTTTATTTCGTGGCTTTTTATCCTGTTCTTTGCCACCTGTTTTTTTTTTCCTTTAATAGTGGCTTCATTAAGATAGATTTCATATACAGCACAATTCAGGTATTTAAAATATATAGCTCAGTAGGTTTTTGTTATATACCGAGAGTTGTGCGAACATTACCACAATATTTATTTGGAATATTTTCATTACTCTTCCAGATATCTCTTTAATGTCCATCTCCCTCACCCCCCCTTCTCCCATTCATGATATTTTGTATAAATGGAATAATTTGTGTTGTTTTGTGACTGTTTTCTATCACTATATAATAAAGAAACTCTACACTATTAATGTAACTGTATGATGGTTTTCAGGTTAATACATGTTGTAGCATGAGTCAAGTCCTTGGTTCTTTTTGTTCTTGATTAATATTTTATTATAGTCTCTTCAACACGTAGACAAGGACTTTCTGAAAAGGACTCCAGCAGCATAGGTAATCAATTCAAGAGCTGACAAGTGGGCTTACATGAAATTCAAAAGCTTCTGTATACATTGCAAAGGAAAAAATCACCAGAGTGAAAAGACTGTAGCTTGAGTTTTCCTGCCTGGCCCACAGTCAGGACAAATCTCTCTCACCCGCCAGTCCCAAGCTGCTCAAACCCGACCAAGTAAACACAGAGACTTATATTGGTTACAAACTGTATGGCCGTGGCAGGCTTCTTGCTAACTGTTCTTACAGCTTAAATTAATCCAGTTCCATTAATCTATACCTTGCCACATGGCTCGTGGCTTACCGGCATCTTCACATGCGGCTTGTCATCATGGTGGCTGGCAGTGTCTCTCTCACTCAGCCTTCCACTTCCCAGCTCTATTCTCCTCCTGTTCCGGTTATACTTCCTGCCTGGCCACGGGCCAATCAGTGATTTATTTATTGACCAATCAGCAACACATTTGACATACAGACCATCCCACAGCAAAAGACAGCCTATAGAATTGGACAAAAGTCTTTGTCAGCTGTGTATCAGACAGGGGAATCAATATTTAGAATCTATAAAGAACTCAAAAAAATAAAACACAAAAATTATATAGTCAATAAATGGGCTAATGAGTTGAGCAGACAGTTTTCAGGAGAAATATATATGACCAATACTTGACAAAATTTTCAACATTCTTAACCATCTAAGAAGTTCAAATTAAAACTGCTTTGAGGACCGGCAAGATGGCTCATTGGGTAAAGGTACCTGTCATGAAGTCTGACAAATTAGAATTCCTGGAATCCACATGGTAGAAAGAACCGACTACCAGAAGTTGTCTGACCTCCATATATGTGGCGTGCACACCAACACACACACAAAACATATAATAAAAAATACAAAACTTCTTTGAGAGTCTATCTTACTCCAGTCAGAATGACTCCCACCAAGAAAGCAAATGTCAACAATGACAGAGGGCTCTAGGAAAAGGGAGACAAATGTAGACATTACAGATGTTAGTGTGCAGACTCCTCAAACACTGAAAATTAAACTGCCATAGGATCAGCTGTGCTGCTCCTGAGTATTTACCCAAAGGGATCTTAAATCAACACAGCAGAGATTCGTGCACACCTGTCTGTGTTTGTTGGTGCACTAACTCACCATAGCTAAGGTGTGACGTCAGCCAACTTGTCTATCAACAGAAGAATGGATAAAACAAAATGTACATATCCACCATGGAATTTATTTCAGCCATAAAACAATGTGTAAAGACAGCTGCAGGAAAATGTGTTCGTTTTGTTAAATTAAAATGTGATCAGTGTGTTAAAGAGAGGATAATGGAAGGCAAGTGACATGAGAGCAGAGGGAGACTGCAGGAGGAATGGGGACCAGCAACAGGCAAGGAGGGGTGACAGAGCAGCGTAGGAAGGTGATGGGTAAATAGAAAACAGAGGGACATATCTGAAACGACATCGAAGCTCATCACTTGGTGTGCTAACTTTTAAGAAGGAATAGGAGCCTTCCCTCCTGGTGTAATGTCACATTTCATGTTCTCATTCAGTAGATGAGGCCTTGAGTTCCTCTGCCTTTGGGGCTGTTATGAATAATGCCACTAGGAATATTTGTGTACCAGTTCGTGTATGGAAAATTCTTTTGGGTGTGTATCAGGACTATCCTTTTTATCCTTCCATAATTGGTTGTGGGGTCATGTCTTTGGCAACTCTTCCCTAACTTCTAGGTTGGGCTAAAGGTCTTCATAGCACCGTGCTAACAGCCTTGTAATATTTAACACAGTATGTTGAAACTATCTCTTTACACGTATGATTCCCCTACTCCTTTGGAGAATAGCCACACTGCTTCCTTCACTGTGTACTGACTCTAAACAGTACAAGTTCTTTGGTATTTGTTAAGTTAAGGAAACTGTAAAACAGTCAGTACCTTTGAGTTAAACTCTCTTCTGTTAGCTTTCTGTCTCATGTAAATCGGCTTTTTAGAAAAGGTCTCCTTGAATACATTCTGTTATAACTGACCTTCGTTTATCTTGTTTTAAGGCCAGCGAGGAAAATTAAGAAAGAAGGAAAAGACAAGGAAAAGATGTCAGATGAAAAAGCAGATGATATAGAAAAGATAAAGTCATACACCTACATGGAAAGTGAACCTGAAGATGATGTCTATTTAAAACGCTTGTACCCGAGGCGGATCTATGAGGTGGAGAAAGCTGTTGACTTACTTAAGAAATTTCAGGTTCTGGACTTTACCAATCCAAAGCAAGGCGTTTATCTTGATTTAACATTAGATATGGCATTGGGGAAAAAGGTACGTAGACTTACATTTATTAAAGTACATACATAAATTGATGTTTTTAAATTTTAAAATTCTGTGCGGGGGTAGGGGGGTAGGGGTAGAGGACACATGGTTTGAAAGTTGAAGTGGGGGTCCTGGGGGTGGGAAGGTTTACACAAAGATGGAGGTAGTGAAAGGGGGGAGTATTGGTGGGTCAAGAAGAACAACCGAGGATGTATCCAAAAGCCATAACTAAACTGGCTACTTCGTGTAAGCTAATTTATAAGTCAAGTTCAAAATTCCTTCTCAACAATAATTTTAGAAAGTCTGATGGTCTTTCTATTTTAGCATGAAAGATATATTACTTGCCCAGTATAAAATATGTTGAAATTGTGCTGGGAAGTTGGACTTCTTTCCTTGGATTCCTTGTTTTATCTTTGTATATTTCAGCATGCTTACTTTTATTATAAATGCATAACATGTTCAGTTCATATAGCTCCATTCAGGATTAAATATGATGATAGATATAAAAGCTTAGTCAGCATCACTGGACACTTCCTGCAGGCCAGCGGCTTTATTTAGCAGTACTTTGCATTTACTTTCTCATTTAATTTTGTAGTCCTGTCAGGAAGTTGAGGTACAGATATGGACTATTTGGCTGAAGGGCACAGAGAAGAAAGAGTTAAGAACTGAATCAAGGCTTGGGTCATTTCTTAGATGTTGTTTATTTTAAATCAACCATGTTAAAATTTTTATTTTGTATATTACTTAGTGTTAATTCTTCGTTTGAAAAGTTTTTATATTACCTCTCCTCACCTAGTTATTAGTGTGGTTCCTAACAGTGTCCTGTAGGACCCCAGGCATCCCTTTGCATATGGAATCCACATACAGACTGACGATAGTAACGATGTGGGCTTTGGCTTACGGTTGCTCAGTTTTGTTGCCTCAGTGCTAGGACCTGAGCCGGCCTTGAGCGTTGTCACTGTAGGAGCAGTCTGCTGCCCCTTGATGTTGACGCTGCTCGTCAGGTATCTGTGAGGCACTGGAGACTACTGACGTCAGTTGTCACAGGTTAATAGAAAAGGAGTGCCAATCAGTACAAGTAAGTTGGATGGCTGATAGAAAGTATACTTAAGAATTTCCTCCTTCTAGTCTGAAAATTCCCCAGGAGACTTTGCTACCTGAAAAAAATATTTTCTAAAAGTAGAATCTTTTGGTCAATTTTATCAGAGGAACAGTCCCTTTCCTCTTCTGCCAAGCCTATGGAGGGCCTGGAACCTGTTTCATATGAAATCTCCCTCAGAGAGCTGATCCTCAGATCTAGATAGGTCCTTCACCAAATTGACTGCAGAGATTCATTAAGGGATTTCTACTTGTATGGTGTCTCAAATGATGCCATTGTTTATTTCGGACTTTCCAATTCACTTCCCAAATATATCTGAAAGTGATGATGATGTAGGTTATAGTAACACAGAGCCACTGAGAAGATCCTTGCTGTCTTGGCTTTCTGTTGTGGATGTGGGGTTTATATTCATAATTGCCTAGAGCCGTGCTGTACGTTAAGGGTCAACTACTGAGCAGGTCAGTTGGATATTATCTTTGTTTAGGATGTCTGGCTATTTTCATCATCTTCCTTGAGTCTGAAAAACAGCTAAAAATTTAATTCAGGGTAGCAAACATCTGTTGACATTCAGGAAATGGAAACCAGGTTTCCATTTATTCCATGATTTTTTGATATCTAGAGAGATACAGATATGAATACATATCCCAATATTTGAGAAACTGATAAATGATTTAGATAGAAACCACATGCACTGGGGTCTGGAGCTAGGAAGAGAGATTTAGATTCTTCTTATCTTTTAAAACAAAACTAGATAGTGTCTTGAGCTTTAAATTCTAGTCAGAGAATAGTTTGGGGTGCCTGAGAGGAGCTCCGGCAGATTGGAAGAGCTAACAGCAGGAGTTGAGTATGCTAGTGCATACCTGTGTTCCCAGCACTGGGGAGCTGAGGCCTGCAGAAAGACCCTATCTGTCCTGCCAGTGAACCAACCAACCAAAACACCTCAAAAATGAAAAACACGGCAGTTTTGTTGTTTATGGAATCCAGAAGGTGATAGAAAAGATGAACTTTGTGTAATTATTTTTCCCTTTGTGTGTTTAGAAAAAGGTGGAGCCTTTTGCCAGTGTTATCAGCTTACCCTACCCTTTTGCTTCAGAAGTCAACAGAGTTGCTGTATTTACAGGGGTAAGTAACTTTGTCAACAATCTTATAATTTAATTGTTAAGAAATTATTACTAGTCAATGAAGGGAGTAATGGATTATCTTAGAGAGAAATTCAGTAGTCACACCAGTCCCTCGAACCGGGGACACCGCGGTTGTTTTACACAGCAGTGACCACTGAGTGCTGTGAGTGGCCAAGAGCACAGCTAAGAGCCAGTCCCTGGTCCCAGAGCCAGCAGGCAAGCACAGGACAGGTGTGGGGTGCAGCTCTGCCAGACTTCCGTGCGCCGACATTCGTTTATAGTGTACGGATGTGTTTGCCTAGTTTTTCTTTCATAACTGAGACTTTTTGCATTTTCTGTTTTACTCTGGAGGAAGAAACTGCGTTCTTTCCAGCAAGCGGGGATTATAATTGTTGGAAGTATTTTCCCAGAAAACAAAAAGAGAGAAATGGGACACAGAAGAAATATCACAAATACTGTTTTTCTTGGAAGTTTTCTTTTGAAATTTCGTGGCTAAATTTTAGTTTTTTAAATTTTTTTTAAATTTTTCCTCCTCATATCAGTTTTATAAAATGTAAGTTAGTAAAACTAACCATATTTTAAGGTTTTGCTTTTGAAGGGTGTATATATTGATAGAACCAGAAACCTGTCACTTGCTACATTCTTTCTGTTTGTTTGTTGAGTCAGGGTCTCTACTCAGTCCTGGCTGTACCAGGCTGACCTTTAACATAGAGCGATCCCTCTGCCTCTGCCTCCTGGGTACTGGGATCAAAGGTGTGGGCCACCACTCCAGACACTTGCTAGGTTCTTTATATGATGTCAAATACTCCAGTGACATACAAACTGAAGTTTTTTCAGAATGCAATGTATCTGATGCAATAATTGAAAACTGATGGCATTTTCAATTAGAAATAAAAACAATTTTGATTTGAATTGGTATTTCTGATAGTTATTGACAATATAATGAATTTGTTTTAACTATTGTGCTTTGGTAGAATGCATCAGAGATTAAAATAGCAGAAGAGAATGGAGCTGTGTTTGCAGGAGGAGTGGATCTGGTTAAGAAGGTATTGTGTTTATGTTCATTGGTTGTAAACATGGTTCTGATAGATCTGGTATCCGTTAATTTATTTGTTTTGTGTTTATGGGGTTTGTGTCTGCATATCTCTGTGCTTCATGTGCTTGTTTGGTGCCCTTAGAGGCCAGAGGAAGGTGTGGGATTCCTTGGGGCCAGAGATACATACAGATAGTAAAGAACTGCCATGTAGTTGCTGGGAATTGAACCCAGGTCTCCTGGAAGAGTGACCAGTGCTCTTAACTGCTGAGCTATCTCTCAACCCCTATCCATTAGTTTATTATATTTGCACATAATCATTAGGATTATATCATCTCCAAAATAGTAGGCTTTGTAAAAAGAGGAAATTTGTTTTGTACTTTCTTCAGATTCAAATCTAAGAAAAAGCCACCAAAACTTTCAGTCGTTGATTATTTCACTCATTTATCTATTTGTTTATTCTTTACTGTTGGCATGAAAGTTTTGTGAATAAAATATACAGGCCAATGTTACTCTGATTTTGAATGTGAAATTTAAAATGAAATCCAAATGTTAGTACACACAACTATCTCATTCGCGTTTTAAAAACCAAGCATGTTGTTCTTTCTGGGAATGAAAGTGGTCGTTTACTTGGTAGTTAATCTCCACAGTATGGTGTTTCCTCTGAACCTCTCCTCCCCAGCCCACTCGAGTGGCAAGGCTGGCTTAGCATGGTAGCTAAGGAGTGAGTGAGTAGCCCACCTTCAGGAAACAGTAGCCTGGGCAGCCTTTTTGAAGAGAATAGTATTGTTTAAAGGTAGGAAGAGGCATATAGCTATTTCTAAAAATTACAAAAGATTTTCCTTAACATTTTCTGGGAGTCCTACTTCTAAATAAGTTAATTAAATTGCATTATGGATGGGGGTGGGCCACAGAGAGACAGGAAAACTGATTTGAAAATGTGTCCTATAATAAATAACCTGGTGTTTTGCTTGACTGACTGGGCTTGTCCTTTAGAGCACACAGCATCCCAGTCAGGTTCTAAATCTGATGGTGATTTTAACTTCTTTTTAAAGGGCATTGGAGATGGTTTATCCTGGAGCCAATTTGAGTGACCAAGGCCCAGGAAACACAAGAGTTAGGTTACCCCTGACTTTATGTTCCCACACGGAAGTGGTTTTGTTACCGTCTAGGGGTCTTGATTGGGTTCTTTTGCTTTACCAGTTAAAGGTTTAAAAGGCAGGAAACTGTTTCAAGGGCACTGGGTAGCAGCAGAGAAACCTTGAGTGCAGTAAACAGGAGCAGACAGACTCAGCAGCTGAAGGCAGGCTTTTGTCAGGGTGAGAAAACACACACACAAGGACACTGAGAGAAACTCCACCAAGCACAAGGGGGACTCGGGAAGCTGAAGCTTCTCCCCGAGGACTGCTTTGAAGAGTCTTCCTCCCTGGCTTTAGGGTTGTGTGTAAACACTTCCTGATCTGGCTTGGACTTGTTGAGCCAGTCCAGCAGCAGGAGGATAGGCCCAGAGCCTTTGTAAATCTGCAGTGAAAAGTCCAGAGTGAGCTCACTGGGAAGTAGGGGTGGACCTTGCTTTAACACAGGTTCTCAGCCCAGTCCAGGTGTAGTATCCCATCCTGTCTGGCATTTCATTTTAATTATTTAAGAAGTACTAAAATGATAAAATGTAAATACACTGCTGCAGGTGCTTGGGAATTTGAGAGTAGGGCTTGGTCTCTGGAGCCAGAAAACTAACATCCAAACATGTGTGCCACTTTTCATCAGCTTCCTGCCTGACCTGAGAGTGTCTCAGGCTGACATTGCCACTCCTTCAGTTCAGTTCTCAGGTGGTCAGAAGTTCTCACTTCTGAAGGAAGAGGCAATGCAGGGGAATGTGTTGCTCAGCCCTACTGCTGTAAAGGAAACATTGGAGCAGAACCAAATACGAACATCTTAATGTGATTTCTGGTATATAAACGTTATAGATACGTAATTTTCCTGTAGGAGCCCTATTTGGTGGATGTATTTTTAGAGGGACAGTGCTATTTGGGCAAATTATCTTAACCTAGAATTTTCTTCCCATCAAATGTTTGAAAGCTTTCCATGATATTTTTAGAAGGTCTTCAATCAGGTTATGAAGTAAGTTAAGAACGGTTTTTTCAAGTAATATCATGGTTGTAGATTTCAAGCACATTTCTGTACATTTATTTACTTACTTATTGCAATACTGGAAATTGAACCCAGGACCTTAAATAGGCTTGGCCAGTGTTCTAAGACTGAGTAATAATACTCTAAGCCCCCATTCCTGTATTCCTGAATTAGTACACTGTTTCTTAGCATTTAGCTGGAAAGATGGCTCAGCAGTTATGAGCACTGGCTGCTCTTGCAGAGGACCCAGGTTCAGTTTCCAGCGCCCACATGGTGGTTCATAACCTTCTGTAACAGTTTCAGTGAATCCTATGCCCTTTTCTGGTCTCCATGGACACTAGGCATGCTTGTGGTGTACAGACATACATGCAAGCAAAACATTCATACTCATAAAAATAAAGATAAAATCTTTTTTTAAAAAAAAACTGTAAATTAGCCTATAATTACTGAACTTTGAATCATTTCTAAGATCTTGATTTATTTATTAAATTCATTTCATTTTGAATGTCACACATATATTTGGCTGGGAGATTTGAAAGTAATGGTTTTTCTTATTTGCAAAAGCATAGTTTCTATCTACAGATTTGTGTTATTCTAAGATGTGTTCCTAATGTTTATTGTAGCATAACATTCACAGATAATTTTTAACTTAAAGGAGCATGTTGTAGAAGTAGTTTTAGGGAGCCTGTTAATGAGAGCCTTACAAACAATTTTTTTTTCTCCCCGAGACAGGATTTCTCTGTGTAGTTTTGGTGCCTCTCCTGGATCTCACTCTGTAGACCAGGCTGGCCTCGAACTCATGGAGATCCACCTGCCTCTGCCTCCCGAGTGATGGGATTAAAGGCGTGCGCCACCACCGCCCAGCTACATCACAATTCTTTAGCATCTCAAAGTTGCCTTTGCTTTCATGTTCTTGGGGATGGAAACCCTGGCTCTAGAACCCCACTGCCTATGTTTGATTGCTGGTGCCTCTCGTAGGAGACACATACTGACTCCTCACTGAGGCTCCAGGTTCCTCATCTGAAATGTTTAGTTAGTTTTAGTGCTTGACTTGTACAATTGCTGTGAACATTGGATGAATTAAATGTGTGAAATATGTGCAAAATTCACGACACATGAGAAATTCTCACTTAATATGTCATTTTTAAGAGGAGCATAGAATGTTATTTAAAGATTGAAGAATTTTTAAAATGAAATACTAGTAATAGGAAGATAAAAATCCTATAATATTGCCTAATTTTATCAAAGTTCAATTTTTCTGAATTCATCAACTGCAACCAAGGCTTTGGATGGGTAAGATTTCATATGAAAATAAATGTTACTGGTGAAATATTTGTACCCTGGAAATATTTTGTTTTAAAGAGGCAATATTTTGTTTAACTTTATTGTCAATTAAATTTTTAAGTAGAGTATAATATAGTGGTGCAATAATTATTTTGGGTGCCTACCTGAATTAATCAACTAATCCTTTAAACTCTGACTATGAATCCCTTTGTTCTGAGAGTGGAAAATAGGGTAAGTCTGCTAAACTATGAGTGAACTTACCCCTGTCCTCTTGCCCTTTGTTGTTAGTTATGGGTAACAAGGGGGTTCTAACTCAGTTCTTTGTGCAAAAAATGATAGATTTAGTTCTTTTGGTGCACTAAATTTAGAGAGTTAGTGGTTGCTAATGAGTTTGACAACTAGGCATTATTAATTTTGCATGTGATCTACTGAAAATGTTTACCTCTCCAGTTTCAATAGACAACAATTCTGCTGTGGGAGATTTGTGTGAGTTAGATACATATCAATGTTATGTTATAGCTTATAACTTCATTTTGCCTAGCATAATCTTATGATAGAATTAAAACCATTGATTGTGTTTAAAAATACATGCAGCTATTTTTAAAATATAACAAGGTGTTTTGATTCTGATGTTTTTCATAACTGGTGACTGTATTTAATGTAATTCTGATTTTGAAGAAACGTATGCATAATAGTTCTTTTTCAAATCATGCTGAAATCATTTATATCCAAAAAGGTAAAGTTTTTTTTGGTGTGTGTGTGTGTGCAATAAAGAGCTGTTTCTGTTTTCCTCTGGTTTTCAGATCTTGGATGATGAGGTTGTTGTGGACTTTTATGTAGCTGTTCCAGAAATAATGACTGAACTTAATCCATTGAGGAAGAAACTGAAAAAAAGATTTCCAAAGGCTACTAGAAGTAAGGGAGAATTTTTGTTATTTCAATATGTTATCAGCAACTTTCTTTATAATTTTGTTTGTAAGAACGCAAAGATGCTATTATGTTTTTAGACCAAATATTATGCCTAGTATGTAAGATTGATGTACGTAGATTTTATTTTTTCCTCTTTTGCATTAATATTGTTACAGTATAATGTGAGTACCTACTTACGGATAATACTGTTTTTTGTTTTTTTAGAGTATAGCCTAGCTGTACATTAATGGAACATAATACCTACTAAGAACAATGTCATCATACCATTTTGTTGACTTTTATACTTCTTTATCAATATACTCATTTAAGCATTCAGCATGTACATAAATGCACATATATGAATGTTTGGCTCATAGGATTTTCCTCTTAGTAGAATTTTTCTTTATGAATACTTCCTTCTTAAGACATATGATAAAAGAAGTGTTATAAAATGAGAGATATGAATCAATGAATTCCTAAGGTACTATGGCTATTGGGGGGGGTATTTAAATATAGGTGGAGAACAAAGTGACATGTCATGAATGAGGCGACTTTATTTATTTATTTATTTATTTAAACTTCTTGATTGATTCTTTGGGAATTTCACATCATGCACCCCAGTTCCGCCCACTTTCCAGTGCCCCCACATCCTCCCCTTACCCCTACAGCACCCCTCCACAACAGACAGTTAGAAAAGGAAAATCAAGCCAAAGCAAGCAGGCCAGCCAACAAAAACCTCTTCTCTCTCCTGCCTCCAACAGAAGAGGTGACTTTTTAGCTGTTACCAGTAGAATTGGATGAACTAGTTGAGAAATAATATTTTAAGTAGAAAGAAATTTTAATCACAGAACTAAAGTAGGCTAGAAAGTGTAGGCTGGCTCCAAGAAGTGTCAGTTAGATCCTTCCAGTTGTAGAGATGGTACCTCTGTGTTGATATGGAAGTGAACAATGGGAAATGATGTTGGAGGGTGGGTTGATGCTATTTGAGGAAGTCTTTGAATTAGGAGTTAGTGAGCATGGGCTTGTTTTCTTATCATTATGAATCATTTAGATGTTATAGGGTGTGATGTGACATGATCTGTTTTCTAGAGTACATAAGAAATACTGGTTTGCATTGAAACTTGAGGGAGGGAACAGTTGGGCTGCAATTGCAAGAGGCTGATGTGGGTAATGTTTAAGTTCTGCACGGTGAGAACAGAGCGAAGGGTACAGTGTTACAGACGGATTTTGTGACTGGACAGGAAGGGAGTGGTTGATGGGGAGAAAGGAAAAGTCAGCTGTGCTGAGGTCTTCACACGAGGCATTTCCCTGACACGTGATGTCATTAATGAACTGGGCACATTTATGAGCACTCTCAGAACAGACTTCATTTGTTGTAGGTGGTGCTGAATGTCTCGTATAGATAAGAATTGTTTTCTATAAGGTATTGTAAATAGAACAAGATCTTAAAATTTGTTTTGGTAAATTGTTTTTTTCAAATTTCAACTTAAGTAGAGCTAAAATAAAATCTTAACTAAAATTCTTCATACGTATTAGCCACTAAGATATCTAGTCGTGCTCTGACTACAAATGATTCAAATGGACTCAAGTTCTTTAGTATACTGTGGCTTTGTTACTTTTCTATCCTGCATTAAGTCACACCTTGTTAAATGCAAGCAGGGACTTGGCGTTTTTCATAGAGCTTTCCATTGCAGCTGTCTTTGTTGTTAGGAATCAGACTCACATTTTTCCTAAGTCAGGCCTGAAGTTGAATGTTATTGGGGGAAAGCAGACTGTAGTCAAACTTAAAAAAATCTGCAAAATTAGTATTTGTTTCTAATCAGCTCTAGTTGCAGACAGCGGCACTAACGGAGGCGGTGAGAGGTGAGGGTCACGGCACCCATGCCCTGTGGGCCACTGCTGGGCCACTCAGCTGGCTCTCGGCACCGCCTGCTGACGCCACCACTCTGTTCTCTAGAACCCCCAGATGATTCCATTTCTGTTGTTCTTGTCATTAGCATTACTGCTGCTGTTGTTTAGTCTAGAAGGTTCTTCCATTATCATTACTGCTTTGTTTTCTTTTTTAATTCCAGAGGTTTTCAATAACTTCTTTATTCCAAATGGCAACTTTCCTGTCAGAGTTTTTATTTTTATCAGTGTGATTTACTTTATTTCTACTTTCATGAGCCATACCTTCCACTGACTGTGTGTGTGTGTGTGTGTGTGTGTGTCCTTAATGTGTGTCCCCGCCAGCTGTGTAGCGTCCCCCTTTCTTAACATTGCCTTTGCACCCCCCGCAGGGTCTGCTCAGTAGAACTAGTAAAACATTTGTGGTCTGTAAGCATGAAAACAAACTATTAGCCTGTCAGAATGTTCAAACAGAACACACCAGATGTACATGAGAACAGACGAGCTTGTATTACGCATTTTTAGAGCTTGTTCAGACTCTTGTTTCAGAAATTTTGATTTCCTTTAGATCCAACAAAACACACTGAGGTAGACTAGAAGTTCTGAAGCTAAAGTGGAACCAGCTGCTGCAGCTGAGCTCACTGGTTCCCATTGTCTCAGGTCACTAGCAGGAGTGAGAATGACCATCTCTGCTAGATCCAATGTGCATACTTCACAGCGTGTTTTATTGTAATTTCTTACATAACTATAGGCAGTTTCACTTCTTCAAATTCCCATTTGGCTTGTTTTCTAAGTACTTCTTTTTTGTTTGATAAAAAATATTTAAAATTTGCTTGAAAGAAATTTGGCTTCACTTTGCTAATTATTGCTCCTTTACCTCCCCAAGAGCTCTCTGAATTTCTTATATCATCAATGTAGACGTGTTTTTTTTTAGTGTGTGTGTGTGTGTGTGTGTGTGTGTGTGTGTGTGTGTGTGTGTTTATGTCTATTCAGGTGTGTGTACACATTCATTCATGTGGAAGCCCGAGGTTGATGTCGGGTGTTTTCCTCAGTCCCTCTCTACCGTATGTTTTGAGACATGGTCTCTCACTGAGCCTGGTTAGGCTGGCTGGGCAGTGAGCTCCAGGGATCCTCCCGTCTGCTTCCTTTAAAGAAGTTGTCTTAGGTTTTCTATTGCTGTGAAGAGACACCATGACCATGGCAATTCTTATGAAGGAAACCATTAATTGGGGTGGCTCACTTACAGTTCAGAGGTTCAATCTTTTATCATCATGGCAGGAAGCAAGGCAGCATATAGGCAGATGTGGTGCTGGAGAAGGAGCTGAGAGTTTTTTCACCTTAACTCACAGGCAACAGGAAGTGGTCTGAGACACTGCATGTGGCTTGAACATATATGAGATCTCAAAGCCTGCCTCCACAGTGACACACTTCCTCTAACAAAGCCATACTTCCTAATAGTGCCACTACCTTTGGGGGCCATTTTCTTTCAAACCACCACATTCCATTCCCTGGCCCCCAAAGGCTTGTAGCCATATCAAAAATGCATTCAGTTCAACTTCAAAAGTCCTCATAGTCTATCACAGTCTCAACAATTTTTAAAAGTCCAAAGTTCAAAGTCTCTTCTGAGAGTCATGCAATCTCTTAACTGTAATCCCCTATAAAATCAAAATCAGAAAACAGATCCAACATGTAGTGGCACAGGATATACATTATCATTCAAAAATGTAGGGAAAGGAGCATAATGAGGAAATACTGGACCAAATCAAGACCAAAAACAAGCTGGGAAATCTCTAAACTCTGTCTGTATGTCTGATGTCAAAATACTCTTCAGATCTTCAGTTCCTTTCAGCTTTGTTGACTGCAATATGCTTCTTTCCCTTGGGCTGGCTCCACTCTCTGTTAGCAGCTTTCCTTGGCAGGTATCCCATGGTTCTGGCATCTCCAACATCTTAGGATCTCCAAGACAGTCCAGGCTTCAACTTCATAGCTTTGTGCAATGGCCTCTCTAGGCCTCCATTCAAGGACACCCCTGACACATGCCTGGCCTCAGTGGCTTTCCTTAGTTGTGGAGGCAAATTCCAGAACCCCTTTCTTCTATCCTTAACTCTAAAATCAGAAGCAAGTGGCTGAAGCTGCCAAGTTTTGCTGCTTGCTGGGGCAGCAACATGGCTCCCTCATTCAATTACATCTTGACCAGCTTTCTATTTTCCATGGTTTCCTTCACTGCCTAAGCTTGACTGTCCTGGATCTTGCTCTGTAGACCAGGCTGGCCTCAAACTCAGAGATCTATTAGCCTTTGTCTTTGGAGTGCTGGGATTAAAGGTGTGTATCACCACACCTGGCTCTAAGCTTTTCTTTAATTCCTTTTCACAAATTGGAAATTTAGCTGGTTTGGGATCTTGCCCTGAGGTCACCACTCCCTTTATTCTGTCTCTTAATCTGTTTATCTCTGAACACAGGATTTAACTCATTCTACTTCCTGGTGCTTTTTCTCCTAAATAAAATTTTACATTTTGTAATATTTACCCTGCTCAGCTTGGTCCTTTTCATTATAAATCTTCATTAGAGTTAACACTTATAACCACACAGCAGAGCCTATATTGGCTGTTTTGAGATTTCCGTTAGTAGAATTAATCTCTTTACTTTAGCCTCAGGCAGACTCTTCAGACAAGGGCAAAAGCAGCCACTTTCTTCCCCAAAATATTACAAGAAAGATTTCTAGGCAACATACAGAAATTCTTCTCCTCTGAAACCTCTTGAGCCAGCCCCCCACAGTTCAAATCACTCTCAGCACCACTCTCTTCCAAGCTCCTAATATTATGGCCCACTAAGCAGTGCTTAAAGCATTCCAGTGCTTTCCTAGCCCAGAGTACCAAAGTCCAAGTTCCTCCAAACAGAAACATGGCCTGGCCTTTCACAGCAATCCCCAGTCCCTGCCACCAGTTTCTGTGTGTGTTAGGGTTTTCATTGCTGTGAAGAGACACGGTGACCACAGCTACTCCCATTTAATTGGGGGTGGCTTACAGTTTCAGAGGTTTAGTCCATCATCATGGTGGGAAACAAGACAACATGCAGGCAGACGTGGATCTAGAAAAGGAGCTGAGAGTTCTTTCATCTTGACTCACAGGCAACAGGAAGTGGTCTAAGACACTAGGTGTGGCTTTAGTGTATATGAGACTCACAGTGACACTTCCTCTTACAAGACCACACCTACTCCAACAATGCCACACCTCCTAATAGTGCCACTTCCTTTGGGGACCATTTTGTTTTCAAACCACCAGAGGTGGTTGTATCAGATGTAAGACTCATAAATGCTAAAATTATGAAAATTTAAAGTACTGTTCAGGTCTTGAAATAGCATTTTGTGCTTCCAAGTATTGCTTCTATTACTGAAATTGAACTCTTAGGTTATATGAGGAAAAATGCAAAAACAATTTTCAACCCCCCATACTAGTTTAAAAGCTATTGGTACGTGAAAAAATCCATTACTGATTAAGTACTATTATAATAATAGATTAATTATGAGTGTCTTATGGATAATCCTGATGTTAACTTTGTTTCCTTTATATCAGCCATAGGGGCTGCTGTGCTGTTTCTCACATATTTACATGCCGAGTTCTTCCTTTACTTTCTTGGGTCTTGGATTGATTTACTTTTTGTGTCTGTCTGCAGTGTTCTTTATTGCCCCTCTCCCACTTTCTTATTCAGATACCACTTGAACAGGCCGACCATGACCATCCAATGGAAAGTAATTACTCTCAACTTTCCATTATCTATAGAGATTTTGTTATTGAGTCTCTGTATTCTTTTTAGGACTTAACACACATAGCACCAGCAGCAGCAGCAGCTTCTTTTCGTTTTCTTCTTTAGTATGTGTTCAATTTCTGCTGTTAGAGCAAAGATATCTTCATCTTACCTGTTGCTATTTTCTTGTGACCTCGAATGGTATCTGGCCAAGGATAGTCACTCTACAAATGTTTGTGCAACTAATGACCATTTAATGCAGGATTCATTTGAAAGAAGCTACAGAGTTAATAACTCCACTGAAGCATGGGTTAAGTCTGATTTACACATTTAAATAGAATTGTGGTTATACTAATTGAGCACCTGGTTGTGCCCACTGGATGTGTGGTGGCTTTTAACAAGGAGGGAAAGTCTTTGATGTCATGAAACCAGGCCTTTACTTTCGGCAGTTAGAAAAACCAGCTGAACGTCAGCACTTAACCACACCCAGATTTGTCTAGTAAACAGAGAACACTTCCCTGCGGTTCAGGCCTTGCTTTGGTTGAGGCTGCCCTTGTTGTGCAATCTTAGTTCTGTAGTGCTTGGTTGCCTCCACTTCCTTACCAAGTATTAGTCTTCCTTCCAGCCTCCTCTCACAGTTATCCAAGATAGTGCTCACAGTTCCAGTCACAGAGCGTCGTTTCCCCCCAGACTCAAATGTCACTTCTGCGTTTGCACAATTTCCTAAACGTCAAGCATGTTCAATTGTAACTAGCTTTCTTCTTTCCTTCTTAACTTCCTTCCTTCCTTCCTTCCTTGCTTCTTTGTTTTCTGTGGTAAAGGATAAAAAAGATACACTAGAATGAAAGACTGAAATGTGTTTATTATGGAAGCAGTAGAGAGTGTTAGAGGGAGAGAAAGGCAAGGAAGAAAGTAGAAGAGTGTGAAACACAGAGAAAGAAAGTGGAGGTCAGGTACATGTCAGTAGACCCAATCAGAGGCGCGGTAAGCTGATATCTGTCGCTTTGGGAAACAGACTTGAGTAGGAGTGAGTGTACACTTCTCAGCCTTGGCGCTATCCCTTGCTGTGGCCTTAAGCGAACTCTGTAACAAGGAAGTGCAGGCAACAGATTACTGAGGACCATTAATTCTTATTGACAAAATGGGTTTTATGCTAACAAATGCCCAATCATTTCTTTTGATAATATAAGCAGTGCTTAGCACAAACTGGATATAAAAAAGTTCATAGTGAGCACAGACCAACTTCCTAAGAATCCTAAAAGTGGCTGTTCATTTGTACCATTGCTTTAGGAGAACTTACTGTGCTTCCATATGTCCATTCTACCATTATGATCCATTTGTTATATAATTGGTAATTACTGAGTGCCAACTATGTTCTGAAAATTGAAAGACTAAAAGGCAGTTTACATTTTTTTGTTTGTTTGTTTTCAAGACAGCATTTCTTTGTGTAGCGCTGGCTGTCCTGGATCTCACTTCTGTAAACCAGGTTGGCCTTGAACTCACAGAGACCCACTTGCCTCTGCCTCAACAATGCTGAGATTAAAGGTGTGTGGCACCACCGCCCAGCTGACAGTTCACATATTGACAGAAGAGACAGAGGAGAATAAACTTAAGCATTAAAGTGCCATGAGTATTGGGAAATATAGAGTATACTTATGAGAATAAGTAACTGCTTCTTGGAATCAAATTATATAAAGAAGATAGCAGTTGAGACATTAATCATGAATGTCTAACATGTGGACTATATTCTAGGCAGAAGAAATGGTTTCATTAATGTTAAAAAAAAGTCAAGTGCCGGGCGGTGGTGGCGCACGCCTTTAATCCCAGCACTTGGGAGGCAGAGCCAGGCGGATCTCTGTGAGTTCGAGGCCAGCCTGGTCTCCAAAGCGAGTTCCAGGAAAGGCGCAAAGCTACACAGAGAAACCCTGTCTCGAAAAGCCAAAAAAAAAAAAAAAAAAAAAAAAAAGTCAAGCAAGAGTGAGTGTATTCAGGGAGTTCTAAGCCACTGTCTGTCATTTGGATGTAGAGTGTTATCAGATGGTGGTAGTGAAGGGTAGACAGTGATAGGCAGTGGGCCAAGCACTGGGGTCTTTTTGTGCCATTCCACAGAGATTAGATTTTATCCTCTTTGTATTCTGAGAACCTTATTCGGAATCACGAGATCTGGTTTTCTTGTTAGAATGAATACTCTGTGGGCATGTAAGTTGTAGGGTGGATGTGAGGATATAGAAACTTAAATAGAGAATGCTGCGGAGGCTGTTGGAGTAGTTCAGATAACAGAGGCAAGTAACTTTGGCAATAGCAGTGAAGACAGAAACAGGTTCTTGAGGGATGTTGAAGAGGTGGAATCAACAACAACTACCGATTCAATATGAAGTGTAAAGGCATCTGGAATGATTCTCTAATTTGTGTCATATGAAGTATAGTGAATATTGTTTTAAAGACATACATAGGAAGTAAATGAGGTTTTAACATAACAGTTACCACAAGTAAAGATGGCAGAGGAAAAGAGATTAGCTGATACGTATTATGTATTAACATGAAGTAGTTTATGATTTTAAAAAAAAGTGATCATTGTAATCTCCAGAGCATGTTTAAAAGGCGTATAGCTTAAATCTAAATATGGAGTAAAAGACGTGATTTTTGTTTGTTGAAAACAAAGAACGGCTGTGTAAGAGGAACACAGGAACAAAGATGAGGAGATAGTGGAAAGCACATCCCTTTCTAGTTCCAGCCAAGAAGCCATCCCCAATTAACAGCCTCTCACAGAGGGAGAAGTAGTTTGTCCAAGGGAGTCTCACTGGGTGTACAAACACACTTCAGGGCAGGCCCCATGCCCAGCAGTAAAATGAATGCAAAGGTATTTTGTCTTCCCTTTGTACTGCTTTTTTTTTTTTTAAAGCTTACTGGTTTTTTGATTGTCTGATGGTTTCCTATTTTGAGTGTGTGTGTGTGTGTGTGTGTGTGTGTGTGTTTCTTCTGTTCTTTCTTAGTTTCTTTTTTTGTCTGTTAGTTTGTTCATTTTGTTTTTATCCTTGTTCGTCTGTTTTTATTTGCCTGTTTGTTTTCTTGGTGGGAGGAGTTTGAAGAGTGGGGAGGTGGGAAGGATCTGGGAAGAGATGACAGAGAGGAAACCTTGATTAGAATATATTGTGTGAAAATTACCTCATTTTCAAGAAGTTTTTAAAAATTAGGTATACTTTAACATTTCATACTAAAACTTTTTAAAACTGTGTTTGTGTGTATGTGCACATGATAGAGGGCAGGCTCACGTGCATGTGCAGAGGTCAGGGTCAGCTCTGGGGAGTTGGTTCTCCCCCAGTTGGACTGAGAATTGACCTCCAGACTCCATGGTTGATGGCAGAAGTCTGTTTGCAGGCTGCTGCTGGACTGACAGTGTCATTGTTCTTGCTGATTTTGGAGTTCCTTGCTCTGCATCCTCTCCATATGTTAGCACATCGCATTGTAGCTTCTTCAAAGCCAATAAGAAAGAGAATTTTCTTCAGAAGAGGCATTGTAGTGTTATATGATGCGATTTTGTGCACATCATTCTGTTTCTTGGTTAGAAAGCAGGTTGCAGGCCTCATCCACATCCAGTGGGAGATCACCCAAGAAAAGGGGACCATAGCAACACCCTGGTGTCTGTCTGCCACAGCTTAGTTGCTGTTTTTTCACATGGGACTCGTGTTTATTTCAGTCATTAATTTTGATAATTGTTTAGATGCTGTAATCATTTTGGATTTTTCTGATTTTTCTAACCAGATTCCATTGGCCGTGACATCCCCAAAATGCTTGAATTATTTAAAACTGGACATGAAATTATGGTAGATGAAGAAAGGCCAAATTTTCTCAGCACCAAAATAGCAACAGTAAGTTATAGTTGAATCTCTTTTGCTCAGATGCCACATAAGTAGCATACCTGACATTTGAACTTGCCTTTGAACTGTCATCAAAGACATTGTAAAGAACCGTATTCTGTAAGTTGAGCTTACCAACTTTAATGGTACTTGAGAGTTTCTTCCTCCAGAGCCTGCTGTAGCACAGATGTATGTGTGCTCACGTGTGTTTGTTTATACACACAAATACACACACAAAATGTAAAAACTTAAAGAGAATTTCTTCCTGTGTTATGTGCTGCTCACTGGCATTTACTTGTTTTTTGCCTAATTTGTCTGTTCTAACATACAAGTTTTTTGTTTTTTTTTTTAAATTTTAGTTTTTTTTTTTTTTTTATTTTGCAGTACAATTCAGTTCTACATATCAGCCACGGATTCCCTTGTTCTCCCCCCTCCCGTCCCCCTCACCTTCCCCCCCCCCAGTCCCCTGCCTCATTCCCATCTCCTCCAGGGCAAAGCCTTCCCCACAGACTGAGATCAACCTGGTAGACTCAGTCCAGGCCGAGCCAAGCAATCCTGCATAGGCCCCAGGTTTCAAACAGCCAACTCAAGCAATGAGCACAGGACCCGGTCCCACTGCCTGGATGCCTCCCAAACAGATCAAGCCAATCAACTGTCTCACCCATTCAGAGGGCCTGATCCAGTGGGGACCCCTCAGCCATTGGTTCATAGTTCATGTGTTTCCATTCATTTGGCTATTTGTCCCTGTGCTTTATCCAACCTTGGTCTCAACAATTCTTGCTCATATAAACCTTTCTCATTCTCGCTAATTGGACTCCCAGAGATCCACCCAGGGCCTAGTCATGGATCTCTGCATCCAGATCCCTCAGTAGTTGGATGAGGTTTCTAGCACAACAATTAGGGTGTTTGGCCATCCCATCACCAGAGTAGGTCAGTTCGGGCTGTCTCTTGACCATTGCCAGCAGTCTGTTGTGTGGGTATCTTTGTGGATTTCTGTGGGCCTCTCTAGCACTTTACTTCTTCCTATTCTCATGTGGTCTTCATTTACCATGGTCTCCTATTCCTTGTTCTCCCTCTCTGTTGTTGGTCTAGCTGGGATCTCCCGCTCCCCCAAGCTCTCTTTCCCTCAACCCTCGCCTTTCACTACCCCGACTCATGTCCAGGCTGTTCATGTAGATCTCATTCCATTTCTCTGTCATTGGGCGATCCCTGTGTCTTTCTTGGGGTCCTGTTTTCCAGGTAGCCTCCCTGGTGATGTGAGTAGCAGACAAGTCATCCTTGTTCCACATCTAGTATCCTGCTATGAGTGAGTACATACCATGTTTGTCTTTCTGAGGTTACCTCACTCAGGATGATTTTTTCTAGATCCATCCATTTGTCTACAAACCTCATGATGTCATTGTTTTTCTCTGCTGAGTAGTATTCCATTGTGTATATGTACCACATTTTGTTTATCCATTCTTCAGTTGAAGGGCATCTAGGTTGTTTCCATGTTCTGGCTATTACAAACAATGCTGATATGAACATAGCTGAACAAGTGCTCTTATGGTGTGGTTGAGCATTCCTTGGGTATATGCCCAAGAGTGGTATAGCTGGACCTTGGGGGAGATGGATTCCCAATTTTCTAAGAAAGCGCCATATTGATTTCCAAAGTGGTTGTACAAGCTTGCATTCCCACCAGCAGTGGAGGAGAGTTCCCCTAGCTCCACATCCTCTCCAGCATAAGGTGTCTTCAGTGTTTTTTTTTTTTTTTTTTGGTTTTTTTCGAGACAGGGGTCTTCAGTGTTTTTGATCTTAGCCATTCTGACAGGCGTAAGGTGGTATCTCAGAGTTGTTTTGATTTGCATTTCCCTGATGATTAGGGATGTTGAGCAATTCCTTAAATGTCTTTCGGCCATTTGAGTTTCCTCTGTTGAGAATTCTCTGTTTAGTTCTATAGCCCATTTCTTAATTGGACTGTTGGGCATTTTGATGTCTAATTTCTTGAGTTCCTTATATATTCTGGATATCAGTCCTCTGTCAGATGTGGGGTTGGTGAAGATCTTTTCCCATTCTGTAGGCTGTCGCTTTGCCTTGTTGACCGTATCCTTTGCTCTACAAAAGCTTCTCAGTTTCAAGAGGTCCCATTGATTGATTGTTTCTCTCAGAGTCTGTGCTACTGGTGTTCTATTTAGGAAGTGGTCTCCTATGCCAATGTGTTCGAGACTGCTTCCTACTTTCTCTTCTAGCAGGTTCAGAGTAGCTGGATTTATGTTGAGGTCCTTGATCCACATGGACTTAAGTTTTGTGCACGGTGATACATACAAGTTTTTTTTCGTCATTTAATATTTAAGTTTTTTCAGAGTTGTAAGGCTTGGATCTAATATATCCTTATATTTGCTGAGCATATAGATATTTAGCATATAATATATATTTATATATATACCATATAATGGATTAATTTGCTTTATTTCAATTAATTTTGTGTCTGGTATTTTACATTGTTTACACACTTATGGAACATGCTGGATGTCAGTTTCCAATACCATTTTAGGGCATTAATATGGGTGTGTTAGAGTTATAGAGCTGTGTTTTTAAATAAATAAGCATTTGGAACATTAGTGTTATTATTAGGTTATTTGCAACTGTTCTTTGTACTGAAAAGTCTCTAAAGGAATAGTAGTAACTTGTTGATAACAAAATTTGATCCCTTCCAAGTGTCTGGTGCTATTCTAAATGCTTTTGCTCGTTAAATCTTCTTGTTGAATTTTTTTTGTTGTTTGTGTTTTTTTTTTTTTTTTTTTTTTTTTTTTTTTTTTTTTTCCGTGACGGGTTTCTCTGTGTAGTTTTGGTGCCTGCCCTAGATCTCGCTCTGTAGACCAGGATGGCCTCGAACTCACAGAGATCCACCTGGGTCTGTCTCCCGAGTGCTGGGATTAAAGGCGTGCGCCACCGCTGCCCGGCCTCTTGTTGAGTTTTATTCTAGTTATTTTTCAATTTTTTGAGATTATAATATAATTTCATAATTTTCCCCTTCCCTTTCCTCCCTGAAGCCCTCACATATACTACCTTCCAACTCCCTACTCGCTTCCAAATTCATAGCCTCTGTGTGTGTGTGTGTGTGTGTGTGCGCGCGCGCGCGCGCGCGCGCGCGCACACATGCATGTGCATGCACTAGTGCATACAAGTGCACGAGTGCATGTATATTCCTAAATATACAAGTACAACCTGCTCAGTCCATCTGATGTTACTCATATGTGTATGTTTTCAGGGCTGACTATTTGGTTATAATCAGTTGGTGTGCTCTCCTCCAGGGAAGACTGTTTCTCCCACCCTTAGCATTAATTGCCTGGATTCTTTGTATAGTATTGAGGTCTCCTGAGCTTTTCCCGTTCCACGCTAGCATGTCTATTGATGTCCTCCTTTTTCAGGTCATGTTTAGGCCGCCATGGTGGTGAGACTTCACAGGTGTAGCTTCTCTGACATCTCTAGGAGACACAGTCTCACAGCAAACTTCCTGGTCCTCTGGTTCTTATAATCTTTCATCCCATCTTCTGCAATGATTCCTGAGCCTCAGGTTCAGGGATTGTGTTGTCTCTGTATCAGATGGAACTCAAGCACAGAAGAGGTAAAACCATCACCTCCATTTTATAGATGAAAGTATAGAAGGCCACAAGATTGAAAACCTTTTCAAGGTCTCATAGCTAAAATGAGGGAAATGAGTAGGTATATTTGAATGTTAGCACTGTCTTCAAGCATGTAGGCTCTGTACTCTGCTCACAGGGTTAACATAATTTGAATAGCTGTTAGCTTTTCTTTCTCTCCTCTTGTTTACTCTAAGGAGGAATGTCACATCCTAGCCAATAGTTGGTAGTCCAAGCTAAGTGAACCATGGCCACTGTAGATTATCTAGACAAAGCACTCTCCTGGTTTACAGTGGGAACACTTGCCTTAGAAAGGAAGCAGAGCAGATCTGTGCAGCCATTGGTAAGTCCCGCTTGTCACATTATCTTCAAGGCTCAGCTCTCATTACGTGGCCTGAGCTCTGCTAGACTCTGATGTTGAAATTTCATGGTTCCCAAGGGCCCTTGGCAGTGCTTCCTGTTTCTTAAGGTTGACAGTGTTGTAATCCAAACACAAACAAGAGCCCAGAGGCAAAGCTCCAGAGACTCTGATACTTGTCATGCTGTGTAAGGGTGTAGGGCAGACTTAGGCAAGTTTCTCAACGTTGTGTTTCGATGTCCTTGTCTGTATAGTATAATAATGTCTATTCATGTACAATTTTAAAATGGTAGCATCTATCACCACTGTGTTATTGTTTGTCTTTGAGGATCATAGAATAGCCTTAAAAACCTCTTCCTAGCTGGATTAAATCTGCTTTCTTCTTAGGATATATTTTCAGATATATATTCTGTAGTTAATAGTTCAATAGGTTCTAAAGTGTAAGAAACCATATTGTCTCATTCTTTTCTTTCTTGAGATAACATAGTGATTAAAATATGGGCTCTGAATTAGACTGTGAGATTCTTTTGGAAGCTTTTTGTCATGCTTAAAAAAAATAGATGTTTATGTGTTTAAAGAAAATCTCCTCAATACTACTGAAATGCTTTGATATAGTGGAAGATTGGTGGAGTGGATTTTAGACACATATTGTTGTGTTTCAAATCTAATTTCGTGCTTTTGATATAACAGTAGCACCTGTATTTTGTTGTATTCTGGGCCTCTGTTTTTTCCCTATTTCCTGTTTCTCTATATGCAAAGTGATAGTTATGGTTAAGTTCTACTTGGCTAGGAAGTAGTAAATGTGATAATAACAGTAGCTAGGTAGCAGAATACTTCTGGCTAAGTTGGAATACCAGAGACATGATTTACCTTCCTACCTAAAACAGGGAGAAGTACCTGGAAATCAAAACTAGACAAAGAATACTATAATGTAATATCATTTATGAATATAGACATAACCCACATTTCACAAATACTTTGACTGCCTAAGTCCATTTTCTATTGCTGTAGCAGAATGCCTAAAACCAGGT